TATATCAATATTATTTATCCAAACCTAATTACGAAGCATGATTCTTCGCCAAATAGGATTTCGAAGCACCAGAAACAGCCACGTAGGCTCAGCGCATTCTGGAGTTATATATAGGGAGGATTATTATGAACAACTGTGTGTGAATAAATTACTACTAGTACAACGCACGTGTATTACACGGGTGCTTGTTAATTTTTTATTTAAAATTTAAAATTAATGAGAGAAAATAGTTGAAAATTTAAAACCTTTTTATGAAAATATATATACTATTATATATTAAGTATGAAACTTTTTATTTGTGCGACTTACCTGTATTATATTATAATAATTTATTATAACTTACAAAATATATCTACATTAAACATAAATATATCAATTGAGAAATAATTTTATTTTTCTAATCAATTTTAATAAATATTATTATTATTATTCGATTAAAATAATTAATTTTGAAAAAAAGTAACATGATTAGTTGTTAGTGGTATTTTAACTTTATATTAAAATAATATTAAAAATAAAATATTTAAAGTTGATTTATTGTAAAAGTAGGAGAAAGATTATGAAATGATTAATTAAAATTATGTGAGTGGTGAATAGTGAATTAAAGTTAATGTGGTATATATGAATAATTGGTTGAAATTATTTAATTATATTAATAAACGCCCGTGTATTACACGGGTGCTTGTTAATTTTTTATTTAAAATTTAAAATTAATGAGAAAAAATAGTTGAAAATTTAAAACCTTTTTATAAAAATATATATACTATTATATATTAAGTATGAAACTTTTTATTTGTGCGACTTACCTGTATTATATTATAATAATTTTTATAACTTACAAAATATATCTACATTAAACATAAATATATCAATTGAGAAATAATTTTATTTTTCTAATGAATTTTAATAAATATTATTATTATTATTTTATTATAAAGATAAATATAATTTATTTATTTAATATATACAATATGGATGTCAAATCGAACATCATCAAAAGGTGATTAATTTGATATATTATATATGTAAAACCGATAAGAAATACAAAAGTTATCAACTTTTAAAATACATTTATAATTTAATAGCTAATTGAAGGAAACAAATCAAAAGTCAGAGATATATTAGTCACTTAGTGCCTCACTATGTAAAATTACAAAGAATTAAAGGGTTATATTAGTACAAGTGATATTAAAATACCTAAGTTAACTAAATAATATTTATGGAATGTCCTAACCTAGATTATTAATTATATATATATCAATATTATTTGTCCAAACCTAATTACGAAGCATGATTATTTGTCAAGTAGGATTCCAAAGCACCAAAAGCAGCCACGTAGGCTCAACGTATTCGAGAATTATATATAAGGGGGATTACGAAAAAATAAGAGAAATATTAATATTTGATTTTGTGTCTATCTAAAATGTTTCACTACAAAAATCGGGATATAAATTTTGAAAATGTTAAAATATTAATAGCAAACTGTCTATTATGGTAGTAATATAAAATAAGAAAATATTTATATGAATAGAATAACATGTTGATCAGATTTATTTAAAGCAATCAATTCATTAACAATGAGGTTGTGTACTCAAGAGCACTTTGATGAGATGACTTGAGTCTCTTCCAGTTTAACTAGTGGTCTCGTGTTCGGGCCCTGGGAATGCAGCAGTGTTAAAACTCTTGAGGGAGAGCTTTGTCGCCCTTGTGGTCCTATCCGGCTCGATTCCGAATTAGTCGGTTTCCCTGTGGATCCGGAAACTGAAAGGTCCCTGTACCAAAAAAAAAAAAACAACGAGGTTGTGTAAACCAGTTTTTTATATTCTTGTACCACAATGACCTATTACTATTAAGAAATTGTTTTCTTGAAAAAAAGGATTTTAACAAAATTAAGTAAGAACCGGATTTATTTCTCTAAGGATTCTCTCTTCAATCTAATTAATGTTTTTTATTTGTTTTGTATAAAAAAAACGCGGTGATATTTCTTTTTTTAAAAGATCATTAATTAATTTATCGAAAAACTCTTACGAAAATTGATTTAATCGTAAGAATTGATTTAATCTTATTCTTATTTTCCCTCCACACCTTTGCGCAAATACTTAGGTGCTTTCTGACACACCTTGTTAGGTGTGTCAGGACGCACGGTAATAGCACTGCACACTTTGATATCCTTTGTCTCTGCGAGAAAATGCTCCCCTATCTACGGTGGACCATGTTAATATGCTCACCGCGTAGGTGACATCCACTCATTGATGATGTTAATATGTTTAAAAAAATACATTATCAATAAGTGCATGTCACCTATCGGTAGGCATATTAACATGTGCCCACGATGGATACGTGAATATTTATCTGTCTCTATGAATCTTTAATGGGACAATGGATTCTACACTTTTTTTTGCAGGAAATCATGAATGGACTTTGTAAAATATTATTTATATGATTTGATATCTGGACTATAGGCTATGAAAATATATTGTTTTTCGCTAAAAATGATGATTTTTCTTATTTAAATTCCAAATATTACTTTTTTTAGTAAAAAAA